TTTTTTTTAAATTCGAAAAAATGTAAATATTTCAAAAACGGTGACACTTTTACCTGAAAATTTGTTGTTTATCAGGGAGCTCACCCCCCCACCTACCTTCCCCTAAAGTTTGGCACGTTACTTCTGGGACACCCTGTATATATATATGATAGTACCCTGTAATGCCAGCTTAATAGGGTCGAGCCCCCTCCGCCCCCCCCCCCCCTAAATTTCATTCTGGCTACGCCGATGCTTACCGCATTTCTCCTGCCATCGCCTCACTCCTTAACTCAGCTCACCTCACCTTACCTTAACTAGCACAACTCAACGCACCCAACTCACCTTAACTTACCCCACTTTATCTCACCTCAACTCACATCATCTTAACTAACCCCACCTCAACCACTAGTTAATATTGTACATATGAATGAAAAATATTTCTTTTGAGAACTGCAAACGGTTAATAAAATTTAAAATTGATCAAAAATCCTTGGTTTTTTTATGGAAAATAGAAATTTGCAATGAATGACCTACAAATCTCAATTTAAAGGCTGCGCTTTTAACGGGCACCTTTTTTCATAGTCGTTTATTTTTATCCAGTCTAACATACATATAAGTACATGCATATGTGTTATCAGAGAAAATGCTATTTTGCAGCTCTTGTTGTGACGAATTTGAAAATCCATAAAATATCCATAAAACAACTTCAATTCATTCTTCTGCTTGAGGGATTGCCATATTTAATTTTATCTTATTTTTCAAGTGGGAATATCTGCGTGCTTGTTACCAGTTCTCATGCACATACATATGTACATATGCATGTACGTACATATGATTATACTAATTAAGTATGCAAATAATGCATACACGTGTAAGGCAAATTTACATTTTAATATGAGCAGCTATTAAAAATTCATTCGTTATATTGCAGAAAACTATGCATTTCCAAATATAAAATAATGTGTTAAGTAAATATGTAGGTGCTTGTTAAGCTTAGAGCAGACCTGCTTTAGCAGTATGGTGTATAAGTGCAATCATATATAATCTCTAGTAATTTATACCATATACTTATGACTAAATTTGTGCTAAAAGATTTCAAACTATTTAGTGCACGAAAGTCATTAACTTAATTGGCAAACTAGAACTAAAAATAAGTAAATGTAATATTCGCAGCAGCAAATTGGATGCAGCAAACCTTTATGTAAGTTTTAAAGCTGGCAACGATATAGAATAATCATAACGTTTATGTAAGTGGCAATGATAATGGCTCAGAGCGACCATTATACTCGTAATAAGGTTAGGTTTAGGTGGAGACCCCTTGTAAGGGGCTCACTTAGACCATGGAAGTTGGTTCTTTCTGATACCACTGGACGCGGTATCTACAAAGTGAGAGCGAGAATCGCAGAGGGCCGCGAACGAAGCTTCGCCGGCGTCCAAACTTAATCCCGAAGAGCTGCTCTGTACTTGTCAAAGAGTATGAAACCAAGTGCGTAAACCAGAATCTAGCAAATGCTGGGCGGTGTAATAGGAAATATTGAGATGGCTCCATCTCCTCGTCCTCCATACTATATTTAATCTTACTGCATGAACTCCGATAGGACAATGCCCTGTCAGTGCACCCACTAAAATCGGGTAATTCGGCTTAGCGATC